GCCAATATATTTGCCGTCTCCGGTCAAGCTGAGACAAAAAGTATTTTCCAACTTTTAAAGCATACGTTTTAGCTTTGTCTGAGTTGTTCCCGAGCGTTATCAATCAGTTGGAGACCGCAAAGATGCGTCTTTCGAAGATGAATGGTAAGAGCCTAAATTGTCCGTGCTGATCGTGCAGATAAACTTTCTAGCTGTTTTATATGTTAAGCATTGTTGAGCTAGCCTCCGACCACCCACGTTTAATGCAGACGAGTTTCTTTAGCTATAACTAATACAGTCATAGATGCTCAAGCAGAATCCGAGCTCCTCAAAACATGCAATGCCACGCTTCAGAAAAGCTGACATGACAAGATTTTCCAAGTGACATGTCTATTGTTATGTCAAGGGCTGGGCGCGTCTGTATTGACGTTACCAGTCGTCTAACTCGTTCTGCGGTTTGTATTACCGCTAACGCCTACGCTTAATGTATACTATTAGTCAACGTATTCATGAGTGTTCGGCATATTAATCCTCCCGAGTGCGTTTAACTAGTTCTTACTGTCATGCAGTTACTTAAAAACGCTATTATTTATATCTCTAGAAGCAGCCGGTGCTGATGGAAAGGAAAACGATGCGGCCCAAAACGATGACGATGATGATGTACCCGACTTAGTTGGAGACTTCGATGAGAAAAGTCGTTTGGAATAAACTCATTAAAACCTACTCATCCATCGTTCCGACAGCTTGGCAGCTTATTCGCAGTGAAAGTCCGCCGGAATTCTCAGATATTGTGTTGTCGAGCATTTCTTAACATTGCACAATGCCACAATCCTGAGATAACCATGTATAGCATAGCTGCCAAATCTTGTCATTGGCCAGTTTTGTGATAATGGAAAATTGAACATTATTCGCTTTTTGAGTGAGTGTGTTTATGTGAAAGTTCATTTACTGGTGGCCTCATAACACGCTCACCGTGCTGGTTATTTTAAACGGTAGAACCCGGCGAGAATGCATATTTCTGTAGTAATCTCGGCTATTATTTTACTGTCGTTCCCGACTAAGTGTTTAAAGTTTACTCGTGCTTATTTCGCCAGGTCACATGCGCATTACGACTTGACGAGTGTTACTGTTTCATATGCTCTTTTAATAAGTATCAGGCTCCGGGAACACCCGTCTTATGCGACCGGTCTCTTTGAGCCGGACGACCATCTCTGTTCAA